CCCCCCAAAGCAATAGCCTCCACCTCCATCCCCCGCAAGAGGGAAACAGTGGCCTCTCCTGTGGAGTGCTGCCATAACCAGGCCAGTGTCGGGTGCCTGGACGTATCCCTCGTGGTTGCGGAGGGATAGTTTCCTGCAGCAGGTTCAGCCCTTCTGCGCTCACCTGGTCTCCCTTGCAGAGTGTGACCCCCCCCACCCGCATCAATTGCCTCAGGACCCTCCCGGGAGGTGAGGTCCCCACTTGCACTACCACACTTCCCCCCCCACTTCTCCCAGTCCCCGTGCTCACTCTGAGACGCCCTCCTTCTCTTCCTCGCTGCTCTCACATTTGCCCTGGGGGCTGGAGGGGCTCAGAGCCCCCTCGTTCGCCTCTGGCGTCTCCTTCTTCTCGTCGTGCCTCTCCTGGGGCTCGGGTGCAAGGCCGGAGGCCGCAGGGCCCCCGGGGACCTCTGCGGCTGCAGCGGACACGGCCGCTTTCTCCTCCACCGGCTCCTTGGTCTTCTCAGCCCCCTCCTTCAACCGGGGGCTCCCCAACTCCGGGACAGGCGGCTGGAGCTGCAGAGACAGACAGGGGGAAAGGGAAAGAGAGAGAGAGAAAGAAAGAGAGAGAGAGAGAAAAAGAAAGAGAGAGAGAGAGAGAGAGAGAAAGAAGAATTTAAGCTGTGACAGGGTATGCCTGAAGAGAGACGAGTTTGGTGAGGATTATATTCTTAATGGGAGAATCGCCGGTACATAGTTTCTTGAAAATGGGGGTCGCGGGTAGACAGGGCGGTGAGGAAGGTGTTTGGTACGCTTGCCTTTATTGGTCAGTGCGTTGAGTATAGGAGTTGGGAGGGTCATGTTGCGGCTCTATTGGTGAGGCCACTTTTGGAATATTGTGTTCTGGTTCTGGTCTCCCCATGGAAGGATGCCGTGAAACTTGAAAGGGTTCAGAAAAGATTTACAAGGATGTTGGAGGGTTTGAGCCACAGGGAGAGGCTGGAGCTATTTTCCCTGAAGCGTCGGAGGCTGAGGGGGTGACCGCATAGACGTTTGTAAAATGATGAGGGACATGGATAGGGTGAATAGCTTTTCTCCCCCAGGGTAGGGGGTCCAAAACTAGAGGGGCATAGGTACCTATGGGGCAACTTTTTCCACATAGAGGGTGGTGCGTGTATGGAACGAGCTGCCAGAGGAAGTGGTGGAGGTTGGTACAATTACAACATTTAAAAGGCATCGGTATGGAGACATGGATAGGGGCCAAATGCTGGCAAACGGGACTGGATGAATGAAGGAGATCTGGTGGGTGTGAGTTAGATCGAAGGGTTTGTTTCCATGCTGTACATCTCCGTATTCACCGGGGGTTTAGAAGAATGAGGGTGAGGGGGATACGTATAAAATTCCAACAGGACGATGCAGGATGGATGTTCCCAAAGACCGGAGGTATTCACACCTGATCCCACACCAGAACCTCGAGAACCGTTTGCTGCCTACCCTGAAGTCTTCGCCAAATTTCTTCAGTTCCTCGATTTGGTTTCTCTTGTGGTCGGAAGGGGACTGTAGCAGGCCTGAGGAATCAGGGTCATGTGTGTGCGTGATGGTGGGGAGGGGAATATAAAATGAGAGAGAGAGAGAAAAAAAAAGAAAGACAGCGTGAGAGCAAAAAGAACACGAGAGAGAGAAAGAAGGGAGACAGAGAAAGACAGAGAGAGGGGGAGGGAGGTAAGGGTGCAGCGAGGGAGGGAGGTAAGGGTGCGGGGAAGAAAAGAAAGGCAGCAAATGGTTAGCACTCACAGTTTTACCGGACCGGCTCCTGGGAAGAGGCGAGATCGAGGGCAATGGGTTGATGGTTCCCAGAGAATGGGACAGAACGTCACTGCAACATCTCCAATTCTGAAGGGGGTTTGACAGTGTCGACGCTGAGAGGCCGTTCCTCCACACAATCCACGTCCCCAGCCTGACAGTCTAGAACATAGCGGGGGTCCCACTCTCAGGACAAAGGCCTCGGGCCATTTCACTCGGACATGGGGAGGAATTTTCTCAATCATAGAGTGATGATCCTTTGGAAATCACTCCCCAAGACAGAACAATCGCTGAGTAGATTCCAGACATGGGGATGAACAGATTTGAGGGAGAGACACTGAGGGACACGGGGAGAGTCCGGGACACGGATAGATTTTTGAGGGTGGGGAAAGACACTGAGGGGATTGAGGGACACTAGGAGAGTGCGAGAGACTTGGAGATGGATAGAGTTTTGGTCGGAGGGAGAGACACTGAAGGACACGGGGAGAGTGCAGGATACTGGGAGACATAGATTTTTGGTGGGGAGAAACGGGAGACACTAAGGGACACGGGGAGAGCGCGGGAGACTGGGAGATGGATAGATTTTTGGGGAGATGGGGCGAAAGAGCGAGTGAGTGAGAGAGAGCGGTGAGTGACCGGGGAGTTGGTGGTGGTGTTGGGGAGAGAAGGTTGGAGAGGGTCAGGCGAGCGAGGAAGGGAGTCTCAGACGCTCTCGCACTCACCTTTCACCGTCGCCTTGAACTCCAGTGGCCTCGCTGGTGAGGAGTCCGAGGGCCTGTTCAAATCTGCGCCTCCGCTGCCGCTCGGTTCCTTCGCTGGAGAGAGACGGGAGTCGAGGGCGGAAAGACACATGGAATCAGCAATATCAGCAAAATCTGTTGCACCCCCACACCCCCATCCCCGACCACCCTCCAACAAACCCTTGACACTCTGCCACGTCCCCTTCCCGACGACACTCACCTTCAGTGAACAGGGGAGACGGGTTGGCTGGTTTCGAGGCCGGGGGACAGGGCGAGGAGGAGGAGGAGGTCGTGGTGGTGGTGGTGGTTTCGAGGGGGCCCGAGGCAGGAGGGGGTGGCCCCCTCCCCTCGGGGGGCGAGGACGGCGATGGAGCCGAGGGAGGGAGGTCCTGCGAGGTGGGCCCGGGCCCCACGGAGCCTGACTTTGGAGAGCGGGGGTGGTACGACCGGCTGGTACCTGTAAGGGGGGGTTGGGGGAAGAGAAAGCAAACAGATGAGGTGGAGGCCAAGCCCTTGCGCTGGCGATGGGGGTGGGGGCGGTGGGGAGGCAGCTACCTGCAGCAGGAGGGTGGGGAGAGACGTCCGAGAGAGCTCCGCCACGACCCATCATCGGCTTCCCCCCTCGTGTGGACCGCTGGGCTTTCGGAGACATCCGAGACTGACCTAACGAGAGAGAGAGGGTCAGAGAGACAGTGACACATACAGGGACAGCATCCAAGAAGTGGGAGAGGCAGAGAGAGTACGGATACAGTCAGGATGGGGAGGAGGGGGGTGCGGTTACTGAGTGACAGTGTGAGGGAGAGGGATTAACATCAGTAGGGATACAGTCAGTAACACAGGGCGCTGGGGGGGGG